TATCAAGTTGAGAAGTAGATGTGCTTGTAGAAGTAGTGAAGAAGTAGACGAAGTGAAACTTAACTGTCTGTGTGTTACAGATTGACTTTGGTCCACCTCTCGGAAGAGGGATGGTCCTAACTCTTTGTCATGTTTTATAAAATCTAAAGTCCATTTTCTCTGTCTGCCTTAAAAGTTACTCTTTCAAAAGAGACAAAAAGACCAAATATATTCTTAAAGAGAGATTACTTAAAACACACATTTTCATGGATAAACATTCAGGTATGAAATAAGACAGAATCAATGTTCATCAAAGGTGTCGCTGTTCATCTCCTGAAAAGAAAATGTCATTAAACAAAGGGGTCCTCGTGGTGTTCTCTTCATGGGAACCATCCTGGGAGTAATGCTCCTTTTCAATAAAGGAAGATATCAAAGTAGCAAGTTTGGATGTTCCTAAGCTTCGAGGTCAGTTGAACCAAAATCTCTCATTAAAACGATCTGTCCGTTCCATGTGAAATGAGTTCATATTGGCAGTGAAGTTAACACAGTGACAGTTTTTTTTTTTTTAAATTAATTTAAATTAGTGTCAACTAAGAAGTTAGTGAGCTGAGTTGAACACCTGTAAAACAAAGTCTGTTTGTTCCCAAGGGAATAGAAGCATCTTATGTTAAACAGTTTCAAACACAAAACACATGAATGATGTTTGAGATGAGGTGAACGGTTTCTGAGGTGGTGTCTCCTACAGTACTGAGGTAGTTGCGTAGATTCTCCGTCATCAAGGTCATAAGAAAAGTCAAGTTAGCCTTTCATTAAACTCCTACAACAAAAGAATTGTACAAATAGCACGAAATGTAAAATAGTTTTATTAGTTCTTTTTTGACTATCCCTAAGCAGAAGTTTGTCTGTAAGCAGTTATAACAGTCCTCATACTACTATTAGTAGTAGTGATACTGATCGCACAAGATTAAGCAACAGAATAAAACTAAACATTAAAATGATGCAAGAATGTCAACTCATTTAATAAAAGAAATTGAGTACACATGTATTTTTAGATTAAACCTAAAAACACCAAAAGTTGAACTCTGTTTAGAAGGAAGGGCAGCAGGAAGGCTGAATATTAAAAAATTAAGTAATACTTAAAGTACTATTACTGTAATAATAGTAGTACTAGTATCTCCAGTTTGTTATATCTCTGTGTAATATAACGCTAAACATTTACGATGCAAGCTGTGTTTGCACTGGAGCAGGCTCATTTGCATAAAATTAGACTTACCGTTTTTTTACTTCTAATGCTGGAAGGAACAAGTGACAGTTCTGTGATCTCAGGAGCTTTGTGGGCCGCCTGCAGAACTTCCAGTAGAGGTGGCCATGTTATGTAAAATTTAAAGTTATTTTTAATGACGTTTTGTGTTGCTGCTGTTTTCCTGTTATTTCTCTAAGACTTTTGGACTGTTCTCTGGAAGGCACTGTGTTGAAACTCTAGATGTGATAGTACCCATCTGTTACACCGTTTTCCTCAGGCGCTGCACTGAAAGCATGACTCATCACAATCTGTTGACTGTATAATCAGTCCGGTGCGTTAAAGGAAGCAGCCTAAAACTGTCAGGACGAGAGAGCTGCTTACTTGATCGTGAGTCAGGCGTGTCCCTCTCTCTCTCCTTGTCAGAAACAATAAAATACAAATAAGCTGGATTATGCTTTCTCATCTTTTATTAATAAGTCTCAATAGAAAGTTGCACAACACCATGTTGGACCAAATCCAAGCTGCTGAAATATTCCTAATGGAGCTTAAATAAAGCTGAATATTTCAAAATCCATAAATGGCACAAGAGTCCAAAGGTCACAGCGATCAGCTCCTGAGCGCTTTTAATAATTAGAACGGGGTGCCCACACGTTTTCAGCATGCGAGCTACTTTTAAAATGACCATGTCCGAGTGATCTACCTACTATCAAAATACAAAACATTTACTTATTTATAAACATATTAAGCATGCTTTGTATGTTTTACGTTCTTGTTTTCAAGTATTTTACCATGTTTTATATGGCATCTTGATTTATTGTTTTATAACACTACTTTTATTGTAATTGCATTTTACTGTAGTTTTTTTTATTATTCATTCATTCAACCTTTATTTAAACAGATAAGCCACATTGAGCCTCGAAGACTCATTTACAAGTGAGACCTGTTTGGACAGACAATAAAACGTGGTGAAATATAACACATGGGGTTTGGAGGCAAAAAAAAATTCCTAACACACTTTTAACCTCTGAAGGTCAACAGCGTGAAAATGAAAACAAAATCTTGCACATGAGCACATAATGACACCGACATTACGCCGGGGGGGCTGAGGACGCAAGGGCAGTGAGCGTGTCCAGAGTCAACACACAGAGGCACTGCACAGTTCAGATAAAATCACTCAGTTCAAATAGTTCCCTCTGGAGAGATCCGTGCACACTCGGGGGGTGCCGAGGACACCAGAGACGAATCCAAAGAGTCCTGAAACGATGACGGAATGTTTATTCAGCTGGGCTCCTCTGAAAAGTCCATAGAAATTCCTCAGTAGGAGGGGAGGGAGGGGCAGAGCTTCAAATTTACAAAACTTCCAGGCGAGTTGAGATAAGGTGGCCTGTCAAGGTCAGTCAGGGAGCCGACTTCAGATAAACACAGTTGTTTTGGGGACAGGCAGAACTTTACTGACTTCTACCTCGAGTCTGTGTCGGTCCACTCGGTTCCGAAACGTCCAAATTAAATGACCACACCAATGGACCGTGCCTGAGAATAATCCCTGAGATCTGATCCATCCTGCCAAAAGCATTTGAGTCTGGGTGCTCGAGGCACGAACCAAACCATCATAAGGCAGGCAGCGTGATCGGGTCCAGATTTGCTGCTGACGACTTCCTTGATTGTTGATAAACCAGGAACCAGTCGAATACAAAGAAGCAGGAACCAGTTTTCATAAATCTAATTATAAATGTGTCCATAAAATCCACAGATGACAACAGAGACAACAAGTCATCAAGTCTCCAAGTCGATGAGATATCCAGCTGCGTGCCAACAGGATAAATAGACTCGCCTGAAGACTGTCTTCTCTTCGAAGAAATGTTATCAATTTTGTTGAGGGACCAACTGATCAATTCCAAATCCATAGTTATGATCCGGAAGATTTGTAGAAGAGAAGCTCTAAAGCAGTTTCACAGACAGGACAGAGCAAAAGCAAAGCAGAGAGGGAGAGGAGGAGGCGTCCGTCCTTGAGAAGAGCAACTGTGTTTATTTTATCTGAACTTTATATGTTGTCCGTCTAAAACTGGTCTCTCTTGTAAATTAATCCTCGTGACTCAATTAATTCATTCAACCTTTATTTATACAGGTCATGAGACAAACCTGGAAGAATAAATGTTGAATGAATGAATAAGTCCCAGCTCGCTGTGGACGGAACAAATAACAAAACCCAAAAGTTTGTAAAGAAAAAAAGTTACAATTTATTTTTACTGTCCACAAACAAATAAACAAAACCAGCAATAACTTCACACAAAGGAACTGAAAACAAGAATAACTTCCCGTTTGAAAACCAACCTGAGAACAAAAGTGAAAACTCGGCCCTGACAGCTGCTGCTTTTAACTCCAACAGTATTTCTTGAAACCTGAGAGCTTTGATGAAGATAATATTCCTGGTTTGTTTTTAAAGTCTCTGAACAACGAGTCAGCTGCTGCTTCAACAAATAACTATTTTACCGTCTCTCCGTCTTGAAAAGACTTCTTGTGCTTAACAATTATTAAAGTGACTCACCCGGACTGATGCTTCGCTGCTGGTCAGCTGTAGGAAAGTGACTGCTGTCCAGATAACTGGGATTTTAGCTCCTACACCATTTTCTTTCTCAGCTCACTTCTCAGAAGGAAGTCGGTGCGTTAGTATTTATAGTCCGAAAATGCCGCTCCGGTGAAACGCACTTCAAATATGACATCGCGAAAAAAAAAAGTCCTCCTCCCATTCTGTATGGAAATGGTAGGTCTTTTGCTTCTTACTTGGTCCAGGTCCCCAACTCACTTTACACACTTTGAGTTTAGATATAAACTGGAGGCTATTACGAGTCAGCTCGGTAGTTTTTAGCACGGTTGAATGCGAATGCGTAGTGACCTATGTGTCAGAAAAGATCTGGTCTCTGATTGGCTAACGTATGTCAATCAAGTGATGATTTGCATAATGAAGATGGATGGATTGATCAGCTGACGTCCATTTAAACAAAAAATTTAAAGAATTTTTTTCAAAAGTCTGACAGTTATTTGGCTATTTGATTTACTGATATTGCCTTCGCAATTGACCAGTCGATCGCAATTGACCAGTCGATCACAATTGACCAGTCGATCGCGATCGACGTATTGGGCACCCCTGAATTAGAAGACTGAATGGTTGCCATCAGATCGTGTAAAAAAAGAAGTTAGACAGCAGAAAACGTTGCAGGAGGAACAAACAGGACCAGTAGTGTGTATTTTATACACACCAATAAAACTGAAATAAACCTCAACAAACATCAGCTCAACCTGAGTGCACGTTCATGTGAGATTTCACAAGTGAAGATCGATTAAAACGTTTTCCACAGATTGTACAAAAATATGGCTTCTCCCCCGTATGGATCATCAGGTGTCTTTTACAGTCGAAATTGGTACTAAATCTTTTTCCACAAATTTTGCAAGAAAAAGGCTTCTCCCCTGTGTGGCTTCTCACGTGGACAGCTAAATTACTATAAGCTGGGAACTTTTTACCACATGTGGGACAACAGTACTGCAGTCTGTCAGAGTTCTGGTTCCTAACTGTGTGGACCTCTATGTGATGGATCAGAAGTGAATTCTCTATAAAGGTTTTCCGACAGATTTTACAAGAAAACAACCTCCCAGATGTTGCTGTTTGGTCTGCTTTGTTACCGTGACAAACGTTTCTGTGAATCATCTTCTTTGACCCTGAATCCTGGTCCTCAGGTCCAGCAGAACTCTCACAGATGAGCCGCTCCCTGTCTGGTTCTGGTTCACGTTCTTCAAACAAAGCGGTCACCATAAATGGATCAGTCTCCTGCTTCAGGTGGAGCTGATCTTCATGCTGATTGGTGCAGAGCGCCGGCTCTTCTTTAATCTGTGGAAGTTCTGGTTCCTCCAGGTCCAGACTGGAGCTGGAGTTCCTCTCCAGGTTGTAGAGCTGCTGATTCGTGAAGATCAGCTCTGTCTTGTGGACCGGTTCCTGTTGGAGGTCTGAAAGGAGAAATGAAAAAACAAAGAGGTTAAATATGAAAAACATGTAGTTTTCTTTTTACTTCATAAATAAACAAAGACACAAAACCGACACCTGGAGGGAAATATTTTTAAATTCCTAATTCTGGCATCGTGTGAGCTGAGCAGTCTGCTAGTCTGGATCTCTGTAGGTTCACAGTCTTAACGCTCAGATCTGATGTTTCTGTGGTCGTTCTTATTTAAACGTGACCTCCGTCAGACTCCGGGGTGGACAGGCCACGGTTCTGAAGAGACCCGCAGAAGAAGACGTGACGTCACGCAGCACGCTGTGATTACAGGAGGAAACATGGAGGCTGCACATGTTGCCATGTGATTCTGAAGTTGTTGTACAATCAGAACTGATTATTAAATTATTATCAGACATAACTGTTTGGTCCAGGGTTTACACTTGGTCTTCCTGCCCAATCAAATGCAGGACTGAACTTCTGGATCAGAGCAACTATAAGTGGAAAGAGTCCTTTCAGGTTAGTGCTGATAGGACCCAACACGTTGGTGTACACAGTTAAACCCGTACGCTGGTGTCTCCGTCTGTCACGGCATAACAAACCTAAAACAGACAAAAACACCGGACTCCTGTCCTGAAGCTGAAGCCTGGAGGAGAGCCAGCTTTAAACTGATGTGGGGATCAACAACATCTGGATGGATAAACCTCCTCACTGAAGAGACGTGACCCTTCAGACTGAGGTCACGCGTTTCTGATTCAGCACCACAGAGCTGGGTGGGATCTTCAATGAACAAATAGATCATTAAAATTATCAAATATTTGTCACACATCGAAAAAAGTTCAATCAGGTCCTCAGGACGGGTTCAAAAAACTAATTGTAGAAACGTTTCGTCTTTCATCCGAAAGACTTCTTCAGTCTGAGGAGCTGGATGAACTCGGTCTGATCATCATCACCTTCTCATGGTGGACATCCAGAAGCAGCTGCTCACATGATGGAGGACCATCACAGTGTCTGCAGCGTTAAGGCCACTCTGACAAGAGGACGACAGTTCGATCTCTAATGAAAGTTTAATTCAGTCACGTGCTCCGCGGACACGCTCCGTTAGCTCAGCTAGCTTGTTGAACTTGGTATAAACTCGGTAAATTTGGTCTTTGTGGCTTCTGGGTCTGTTTCATGTGTCTAAGCCGAGTCTCACGGAGCTCCTGGTGGTTGTGTGAGCAGGTTCAGAGCTACGTACCGACTCTGTGCAGCTTCAGCTCAGGTTTCCAGCTGACATCCAGCAGTCTGCGCTGACGGTCGAGCTCTTCTTCGTACCGCAGGATCGTCTTCTCAAACTCGGAGAAGATTTCTGAGGCAGCAGCGCTCAGTCTTTCACCGATGAACTCTCTCAGAAGAACAACCGAAGACATTCTGTTGAGCTGTTTTTAAAATTCAACTAAAGAAGATAAACAACCCACTTCCTGCAAGCGGCTCCTTCTTCTTCGTCGGTTTGAATCCGACTGGAACGGACCGTCAGCGCCCCCACGTGGCGAGTCGAGTCTCAACAAGTCAGTCCTTTTAACACAAGGTTTTACATATTTCTTTCAGTATTTACCTTTTTTAAAGGCACAGTAATAAAATAAAAATATACAAATCATCCAATATTTGTAACAGGGAGTATCTCTGCCAAAATATGTACAAATGAAAACAAAATTAGACTCAACTCAGGCTCCTTCTCCACCAGAGAGGTGACATTCCACGTCCCAGTAGCCAGCTTCTGTAGCCGAGGATCAGACCGCCAGGGTCCACGCCTTCGGCCACCACCCGTCTCACATTGCACCCGACTCCTGTGGCCCCTCCCACAGGTGGTGAGCCCATGGGAAGGGGGACCCACTCTCCTCTTCGGGCTGTGCCCTGTCGGGCTCCATGGGTAAAAGCCCGGCCACCAGGCGCTCGCCAGCGTGCCCCACCTCCAGGCCCACCTCCAGAGTGGGGCCCCGGTGACCCACGTCCAGGCGGGTGAGGGAACATTGTTTCCATTCATTTTGCTCATCATAAGGGGTCTTTGGGCTGCACTTTGTCTGGTCCCTCACCTAGAACCTGTCCGCCTTGGGTGACCCTACTAGGGGCACGAACCCCCTGACAGCATAGCTCCTAGGATCACTGGGACACTCAGACCCCTCCACCACGGTAAGGTGGCAGCCCAGGGAGGGGATATTAAAAACTTATTCAAGTCTAATTAACGATCAGACAGAAAACTGCATTATCTACATTTGACAGATGACACAGTTGAGAAATACCTTAACGGTTATCCTGAATTACTGATTATTCCAAGAGTTTTCCACATTTATTTAAATTCACTATGAACAGTAAACCAAGCGCTTGAGAAAAATATTCTCGCTTTATCTTACTTACTCAAAAAGAACCACACCCGACAGCAGATTTTTAACTGGTATTACTTGCAAGGTTTTCAGGACAAGTTACATAAATATACAAGAAGTACACGCATTGAGACAAGTCATGAGAATCTGCACCGGTACCTTCTGTTCAGCACAGTTCACAGAACCTGAAGGTGTCCTTGGCCGACAGCCTCACTCTGCTTTCCTTAAAACGTCCAAAAATAACGTTAATAAGATAAATTAGGTCATTATTTCAAACTACCCCTTGTTGTTCATTACTGGGATGGATTTGTAAATAGACTGAACTGGGTAAATGTGTGGAAATTGCCATTTAGATACTTGATTATAAACAAAGTGAGATTATATTTTTTTCTTCTTTTTTCGGCTGCTCCCTTCGTCGGGTCGCTCCAGTGAACTGAGTCACATGAAGACTTGGCAGTTATTTACGCAGGACGTCCTTCCTGACTCCACAGACCTCCGTGGAGCAGAGAGCTGCATCTAGGGAGCCCGGAGGAGCACATGGTGGGGGAGTTGAGCCGGCGTGCGTGTGCAAAGCTAGCCGTCTTTGGCCTCGATCATAACAAACAACTGATCCAACATGAAAAGTAGGTGATGACATCATCTGTTGACGTTCAGGAGCTTCAGTCCTGACTGTTGGCAACAGAGACTGAAAGCATCTTTCTGACACAAAGTTCAACTGGATCTAAATTCAGCAGAAAAATCACTTTTTTATTATTAGGCCTAAACTTGAAGCTAATTTCAGTACAAGCTTCAGAACGGTTCAGCACACGTGACGCTTTAATAACAGCAAGTTATTCTTCAAACTGAGAGAACACAAAGAATGAAAGTTTGTAACAAAAGCTGCTATCTAAAGTAGTTTAAGATAATGATTGTGGCTTTTAATTTGAGGACAATTAAGTTTAAATTGACCAATAAACTTGATTAATTTTGTGTTTATTCCTTTCTAAGACATTAGGCTGTAACTGAACGAGCTGCTTATTTTACTCATCTTCTTCAAATATGAGGAAAACTGAAACGGGCCGACATGAATCCATTAAAAAGTGGCATTTTTACAGTTTCTTTATACTTGTACCAGACCTGTCCCCTCTGACTGGACCTCTGTCCCCTCTGACTGGACCTCTGTC